TCGTCAAGCTGTCTAGCTAAATCGAGTTTTCGATCCGGAGAATTCAATTTCAATTTAATCGTTTTTTTTTTGTTTTTGTTTCAATTTTCTTCTTCAAATGAAGAAAAAACGAAAAGAATTTGCACAAAAGGCAAATGTTAATTGCAATTCAACAAAATTGAACCAAAATCGTCAGTTCATTATCTTTTCTCTTTTTCAATTTCAACCTGAAAACAAAAAATCATTGAAAATTATCAATTATTGTTTTATGCCCGTAAGCATCGAATCGTTTAACACACACTTACTCTCTCTCTCTCTCTCTGGCTCTATTACTTTCATTTTAAAAATCAAAGAAAAAATAAACTTGGGTTTGTTTTTTTTTTGATTACCATATAATTTTCGCCAGTTGATGATCATAATGATCATCATATTTAAATTGCCTGCAACACACACACACTTATTGCCCTACACTTGATAATGATAATTGTCGAAAAGAATTTCTTGTTCGAGTGTTAAACACCAGAACAAAATTTTCAAATGAAAAAAAAAATATGTAAAAAAAAAGAGAAACTTATTCAAGTCAATTAACCTTTGAATTGAATTTCAGATTGAAGATTTTTTTCTGAAAGATTTAATTACTTTGGAAATCAGGCAAAATATAAGAAACCAAACCAACATCATTCAAATTGATGAGGGAAAAATCAGAATCGAATCGAAAAAATATTCAAAATATTTTTTCATTTATTTTTGCTTCGTTTTTCCTACAGATAAAAAAACATATCCAGTGTTGTTTCTGGGGGTTAAAAAAAATATGCATCGACTACGATGATGATGATTATAAATAATAATAATAATGATGGCCATCATCATTTTCCATTTACCATCATCATCGTTGATTCAAATATTAAAAAACATTACGAAACGAAAAAAACCATTATCATTATCGTTATGATTTTCATTTTTTTTTCATATTTTGATTATCTGTTTGTTTGTTGCCATTAAAATGCCAACCGAAATGAATTACCCAAAAGGTGTCTTATTGTTAAGATTTAAAATCAGATCAAAAATTATCAACCAAAAATGGATAAGAATGTGGAGAAAAAAATTTTTTTTTCGAAATCAATTTATTCATTTTTTTTTTGTTGACATAAACCGTAGAGTTTTGCTTTTCTCAATTTGAAAATAAATATTCAAAGAATATTCTTTACTTTTTTTCAATGAAAAAAAATTGATGATAATAAAGTGTTTTTTTTACGAAAGTGAAATGAAAAACAAAAACATTAAAATATTATATTCAAGTGAGAGTGAGAGAAAAGAAAGATTTATTCATTGTTAACCATCCATTACACTGAATGGTAATAATAATAATTTTCATGACATTATTATCATTATCACATCGTCAAGTAAGTAAGTCAGACAGTTATGATGATCATCATCATCCATAAGAAGAAAAAGAAAAGGATAAACAACAACATTAAAGTCATAATATTTATTTGTTTCTTCTCGAGTTCTGGAGTTCTGGTTCTGGAAATTTTTAACCGTTTTTTTTTTGTTGAGAAAAAAAGGATGCTTTTTTTCGTTTTCGCTATTCAAAACATTATTCCAATGGGAAAAATGATAGGTTTTTTGTTCATTGTTCATTGTTCATTCCATTGAATTTATTGAAGAATTTGATCGATTTTTTTCAGATTGAAAAATCCAATTTGAATGTATTATTTAAAATGTAATAATAAATTATTTATTACCCCTGAAATGTTTCAAAGTGTTAAGAAATTGCAGTTTTTCTAAAATAAAAAATTTTTATTAGATATTTTCGACCGGATATTTTCAGGATGTTTTTAGGAAAAAACGAAACGATTTTGATGTTTTTTTTCCTTTTTAGAAAATTTAATGAAAAAAATCCTAAAGAAAAAATTTGATAAACGATACGCCATCTTGTGTCGAAGATTTAAACTTTAATGAAATTTTTTCAAAAAAAAAAAATTTAACACCTTTTGATTACAAAAGGATAAAAAAAATTTTTTGTTGAAAAATCAGGTTAAAAATATATTATCAGCAATACTAAATCAACTTTGTTTGAACAACAACAACCGGAAAAAAATCGGAACCTGATAATGTTTTATCAATGTTTTCGCATCGTTTGTTTGTTTGTTTGTTTACAGTTGGTGTAATTGGATAGACAACAACAACAACAACTTTCCGAATGATAATGATCAATGTGTGTGATACCATGGGAATCTTTCTGATTTCTGATTTCTGTTTAATGATGAGAATTCAATGAGACTTTTTGGCGAGAGAAAGAAAAAAAAATGTAAATAAACTTCATGGCCACTGTGTTGTATGATTGACAACCTTTTGGTTTTTAGTTTTATCGCACTTGATTTTCTTTTTCTTTTTCACTGATAGTGAAATTAGATCAACGATGTAAACGATGATTATTTTTTTTCCAAAAAAATATTTTGATTATCGATCGATTGATCGATTGAAAATTGATATTATTCTGAATTAATCATTAATCGATAATTTCAAAGTCCAGACCGAAAAAACAATACCGGAAATTAAATTAAATTCAGTTTTCAAATGTAAATTCTTACATTCAAAAAACGGCCAAAGGGTTAAAAAAATGAATCCTTTTTTATTCAATAATAATAGAATGACATCCGAACAAAAAACAAAAGATATCATCATTAATGAATCATATAGTAGATATTTTGATTGTTGTTTTGATCATGTAATGATATCGTGTGAAATGGACATATTTACACAAAATAAACAACAACAGGAAACACCTCCGGAACATAATTCAATCATAACGATTATCATCATTTAGCATCATCATTGTTAACATTATTTTACACATCCCCTTTGCTTTTCATTCATTCATTCATAAAATTTTCTAAAAATGTACGTTGTGGATGTACGTATAGTGTAAATGTAAATCATAAATTGTATGATGCGTGCGTAATCAGTGTGTGTGCGTAAATTGAATTAAATGAATGAAATGAATGAATGAATGAAATTAAAATAACATTACCATAATTGAAATGGGGAAAATGGGAAAAAAAAATCAAAATATGCAAAATGTACATCAATTTTTTTTTCTTCATTCAATTGATTTTAGTGAGGAAAAAAACAAACCACAACATCGATCGATCGATTGATTGATTGATTGATGCGGAATTAAGAGAACAAACGAAAATCACAGAATTTTCAATCTTAAAAAAACAAACTTGAATAATTAACTTGATACATTCGAATCACAGAATCACAGAATCGTGCCTAAAAGTCAATAAAATAAGAAAAAAAAAATAGAAAATCTGGTTAATCAATCAATCAATCAATTTTTGTTTTTCTCTCCCCATTCGAAAACATGTACGTTTTTTCTCTCGAATGTTTTTTTTTGTTTTGTTTATATCAACGATGTTTTAAACAAATCTGCCAAAAAAAAGAAAGAAATAAAATTTGGCGCCAGCAGAAATAAACATTATTTGTTTATAAATTTTGTTTTTGAAAAATTTTCATTTTTTTTACTATTCGAATTCGAACGTTTTCATTTTACTATATCCACACAGTCAAACATTTTGTGTGTATATAGTCACAGCAATAACAACAATAAACACACACAGAGAGAGAGATTTTCCCTCGCTGCATTTATCTATTTGCCTATACCACCACACACACACACTATAATTTACTTGTTGTTATTTTCATTCATTCAATTTGATTTCATTCAGTTTTTTTCCAACCAACAAAATAAAAATTGTTTTAATGATGATAATTTGCTCTCTCTCATTTCTCACAACAACGAAAAATCATTCTATTCTTCCATCATCATCAACAACAATTTAGCTTTTTTTCATTTTGAAAACAAAAATTGCTCAGTTAACTTCGGTGTTTGTAAATACAGTTTTTCTTCTTTTTTCATTCAAGTTTTTGTTCAAGATTTCACCCCATCTATCCATCCTTCTCGATGTGATTGACTGTTGCATTCGCGTTCGTTTATTTTTCGTTCTGCAAAAATCATTCATTGAAAAAAGTTTCTTCAAAACAACAACAAGCAAAAATCTTTTTGTGAATGAAAAAAAATTGTCCTTTATTTTGTTAATAAATCTTTTTGACCACGGAAGATCACTTCTAATTCATCAACAATGAAGATTTTGTCTGTATTTTTTTGTTCATGAAAAACCAAAAAAACAAAAAATTGAAATAAAATGACATGGAACAAAGTTTTATTCAAACAACAACGGATGCTCAACNCATTAAAACAATTTTTGGTTGGAAGAAAAAAAAATTGAATGAAATCAAATTGAATGAATGAATGAAAATAACAACAAGTAAAGTGTGTGTGGTGGTATAGGCAAATAGATAAATGCAGCGAGGGAAAATCTCTCTCTCTCTCTCTCTCTCTCTCTCTCTCTCTCTCTCTCATTTCTCACAACAACGAAAAATCAGATTCTATTCTTCCATCATCATCAACAACAATTTAGCTTTTCATTTTTGAAAAAAATTGCTCAGTTAACTTTGGTGCTGCTGTTTGTAAATAACAGTTTCTTTTCTTCGTTTTTCATTCAAGTTTTTTTTTTGTTCAAGATTTCACCCCATTCATCCATCCATCCATCCTCCTCGATGTGATTGACTGTTGCATTCGCATTCGTTTATTATTTTTCGTTTTTCAATCAATTTTTTCGTTTTCGTGAATTTTCAAACATTGTTTTTTTGTCATTTTTGTTTCTTCGATGTAATAGTGGTAGCCACCACCACCACCAAAATATCATGATCATCAGCTGCTGCAACCGAAAAAATTGAAAAAAAATTATCATCTCGATTGATTCGATTGAGAGAGAGGCACTCTCGCTGCAAAAATCATTCATTGAAAAAAAGTTTCTTCAAAACATCAACAGCAAATTTTTGTGAATGAAGAAAAATTGTCCTTTATTTTGTTAATGAATTTTGAATTTTCAAAAAAAAATCCATCAATCATCAACAATGAAGATTTTGTCTGTATTTTTTTGTTCATGAAAAACCAAAAAAACAAAAAATTGAAATAAAATGACATGGAACAAAGTTTTATTCAAACAACAACAACAACAACGGATGCTCAACCGCAACATTCAATGAATGTACGTTTGGTTCAACAGGTTAAAATACGAATTGGTGAAGCAAAAAATCTTCAACCAAAAAATGGTACCAATTCAATAAAAGATTGTTATTGTGTTATTCGATTGGATAGTGAAGAAATTTTTCGTACACATAATTCTATTGATAAAACATTGGAGTAAGACATTTGATTTTGCCACTGTTATTTTTTTTCAAATCTAATTCTTCTTTTCCTTTTCCCCATCTTTGTTTTAGTCCATTTTTTGGTGAAGAATTTCATTTTGATATACCAAGAATATTTCATTATTTATCTATTTATGTTTATGAACGTGAAAAATCATCTGTACATCATCATCAATCATCCAATCGTAATCGTTCATTGGGTAAAGTTATTTTACGTAATGATCAATTAAAAAATTTTAATACATGGGAAGAATTATGGTTTCCATTAATACCTGTAAATTTTACACCAGAAATTAAAGGTGTTTTACATTTACAAATTGAACCAAATTATATAATGAATAATAATTCATTAAATTTTTTTATAACAATATTTGAATGTCAAAATATTATTGATTTTGATCATCATAATCATAATAATCATAATCAAAATAATTCTTCAAATTCATATTATTGTTTAATTAATCTACGTATATTTGATGAAAGTTATGTAAAAAAATCTAAAATCAAACGTAAAACAACAACAACAACAACAACAACAACAGCAAATAATTCTCATTATAATGAAACATTTTCATTTGAAGTAAGTTTCTATTTCATTTTCCATTCATTTTGCATATTTCAATTTGAAAATATTTTCGTTCAGATCCCGTTGGATAAATATTCAAATATTGCTACAAATAGTCAACTTTTATTGGATGATTTGCTCAATAAATCACATTTAAGGTAAACAAAATTCGTTTTTTAGCTTTGTTTTTTTTTCAATCAAATTTTTTTTTCAGGATTTCTATACATGAATCATGTTCAAAAACAAATAATAATAATAATATTGGTAGTATTCGTATTCCATTGAATCGTTTACAGATTAATAGTACGCATAATGCATGGTATGTTTATCATTGTAAAAATAATTTTCTCTTTGAATTTACTAATTTACTAATCATTAAAACAAACAAACAACAAATAGGTATTATCTTCAACCTCAATTATCATCAACATCATTGTCATCATCATCATCTGTATCATCATCAACAAATAATAATAATAATAGCAGTTACAGTAGTAACAGTAACAGTAATAATCAACAACAAAATTATGATTATAATCTTGGTTCATTACGTTTACGAATAAATTATATATCTGACTATGTATTTCCTAATCCATTTTATGATTCATTATGTAATTTATTATTATCATCAATTGAAATAAAGGTTTGTTCAATCTGTTGTTTTTACTTGTAATCCGGAAAAATTAAAAAAAAAATCTTATAAAATTATTAATAGCCAATTACATCAAGTGTTGCCTATTTATTGGGTGAATTTGTACTGAATAAAGCTGATGCTGCACAGCCATTAGTAAAAATATTTTTACATTATAAAAAAATTGTTACATTAATCAAATATTTGGCTGAAGATGAAATATCAAAAGTCAGGTAAGATGACATAATAATGATGATTTTGTTTAACCCTTTGCTCTCTTTTTTTTCTCCACTAGCGATGTTAATACAATATTTCGTGGAAATAGTCTTGTATCCAAATGTATTGATGAATTAATGAAATTAGTTGGCATAAGATATTTACATGAAACATTACGTTCATCAATTGATTTGGTTATACAGGAAAATAAAATCTGTGAAATTGATCCAATAAAAATTAATAATCAAGAATATCTAAGAATTAATATGCGACATTTAAAAACATATACGGATTTATTTTTTAATTCAATTATTGAATCAATGGATAAATGTCCACAAATTATGTGTGATATATTTGCCGTATTGAAAGAATTGGCAATTAAATTTTTTCCAGATAATAAAGATGTTTGTTATTATGTGATATCAGGTTTTGTATTTCTGAGATTTTTTGCACCGTCCATTCTGAATCCACGTCTGTTTGAATTGACTGATAAAAAAATTGTAAGGCGACTACATTTGTAAAATCAACTTTAAAAAAAAAAAAAATTAATGTTTTTTTTTCTTTTCTTTTCGTTACAAGAATTCACAAGTAAACAGAACATTTACATTGATATCGAAAACAATTCAAAGTATTGGAAATTTGGTCGTATCAAAAAAGGTAAAAATTGAAAAGAATTTTCATTTTTTGAAATTTTTAATAATTTTTTTTTTATTTCTTTTATAGAATACACCATTGATAAAAGAAAATTATATGACTTTATTTTATAAAGAATTTATAACCGATATTCATGTTTCTAAAACTAAAGAGGTTTGTAATAATTTTGTTTTGCTGAAAAAACGAAATTTGTAATTAAAATTCATTCATTTTTTAAAACAAAAAAAAAAAAAAAATAGTTTCTCGAATCAATATCATCATCATGTCGTTTATCAACCAAAGATTATCATGAACCAGTTATTCTAAAAGAAAGTATTATGTTTAAAAAATCTAATGGTGGCTATAAACGTATTGGTTTTGGTACTAGTTATAAAAAACGTTATTTTTGCATAACTACACAACATTTTTTCTATGCAAAAGCTAAAAATAAATCACCATTATTTAAATTTCCAATTAGTGAAATTACTGTGAAAAAATTACCCGATAATTATTCAATGAAAAATGTATGTTTTTTAAAAATTTTTTACAAATTGATTTACATTCAATTTCTAATACAAAAAAATTTCAAATGTTTTAGATGTTTCAAGTGATACATAATAAATGTACATTAAACATACAGGCAAGTAATTGTGTACAGGAACGTGAATGGCTTGATACATTGAATCGATTGATACAATTCAATCAATCATCATCGCCATCATCATCATCGACAACAAATTTGAATAAATATGATGATCATCGGGATGATACAACAACAACAACAACAAATAATAATAACAACAATAATAACAACAACAATCATTTGAATCGACAACAACAACAACAATTATCATTTGATCTGACAATTCAATTAGATCCTGATCGTGAATTAGCTCGGATTTATTCATTATTTCAATCAAATATTGAATCAATTCGTACAATACTTCATGAATCAAATATTAATGATTCGGATAATGATGATAATATTATTATCGTCGATCATGACCATAATAATCCTCGCCACAATCATAATAATAATAATAATCACCGTAATTTAAAACAAAAAAATTATAAAATTGTAAAATTTTGGAAAGGAAATTGCCGTAATTATCCACAATCACAATTTATTATTGAACATAGACAAACATTAATAACAACATTATCATTATTAAATGATTGTATTGGTAATATTGAACAAAAATATCGACAATATTTAACAAGCATAATTGGTTCGGAATTATTACCTATTGAAAATTTTGGTTGAAACACCTTATTTATTTTATTCATTTTTTTTCCATCAACAAATAAGCCGGGCTTATTTGTTTTTGCTTTTAATTCAAAAATTGCTCATTACAAAACACAGCCAACCCGACCCAGCACCTACCTGTACCTCTAACCTAACCTGAAAAATCTTTAAAGATTTTTTTCTTTCTATATATGTTAAAGGATCTCTCTTTGATCTCTAATTTTTTTTTCTGTTGTTGTTGTTGTATTTTGACGAAACATGAATCAAGAAAACGAAAAAAATGGATTTTCATTCATCAGACACTCACGACAATCATCATTACAAATTACATAATCATTTTTGTAAATATAAATTTTTTGTTTTTTGCATCATCATCTTTATAATAATAATGATTTTTGTTCATTTCATTCATTTATTCATTGAAAACTGTGATTTATGATTCTCCTTGTAAAATTTCTTCTTCTTTTTTTTCGAAATATATTTTGCTTTTTTTTGTGGATCAAGATTGATGTTTTGCATTTTCATTTTTTCATAAAAATTTTTCAAATTTTCCACGTGAAAATTTCGTACCAAATGAATCGGATGCCGCATTAATCAGGGATTTTTTTCGTTTCGAATCCATTCTTGGTGCACAAAGATCTTTTTCACGATCAAATTCACGTCGTTCAGATTGTTTAGTGGCAGTGGAATCAGTGGCTTTTGGTTTCTATTTTGATTGATAAAAATGACTTTTTTAGTTTTTCTTTTCGGGAAAAACATTTTTTTCATACAAAAATACCTTATTATTTTTTAAATCTTTTCGATGCATTTCCATTAACGAACGTTCGCGGTTATTTGTTTTATCAAATTTTTCTAAAAATTGTTCAATTTTTTTATCTTTTTGTTCATTGGCACGAATTTCCATTAATTCATCTTCGGTTAATGGTTTTTTAGTGGTCGATGTTTTTTGACTGAATTTCGTTACGGATTTTGTTGGCAATTGAAATGATCGACCGAGTGATTTACCTGGTTCAAGCATCCATTTTTCTCTTTTCGTATCATTTCGATCATTTTTAATCGATCGATTTTGATTATTCAAATGATTTCGATCAATTTCGCCTGGAGGTAATGGTCCGATAATGAAATCATCATCATCTTCGTCATCATCTTGTTGAGATGATGTTGATTGAAAATTTTCTGGCAAACTTGGTCCAATCGGAACCTTCAATGATGATGATGGCAAAGTTGGACCATAAACATCATCATTTGATTGACATTTTTCATCATTATCATCATTAGTTTTTAATTTCGGAAAATTTTTCGGCAATACCGGACCATAAACATCATCATCATCTGATTCTTGATTTTTGGTTGACATTTTTTTTTTGCAAATATTTTTCGAACGAAACGAAAAACAGAAAAATCAAAATAATAATTTTGTCATTTCATTTATGAACATACCATACTCACTATCAAACATGTGCTTTTTTTAAATTCGAGTGACAGAGTTTTGTGTTTTCTTCGATTTTTTGTTTGTTTTTAAAAGTTGTTGAATAGATATAATTATGGCTAAAAATAATAAGAAAAAAATTCAATCAAAACCATTTCGACGAACATTAGTATTGGATAAACCGATCAAAACAAATTGGAAGAAAAAAATGCAATTAAAACAAACCAGCAAACAAATTAAATCATTGGAAAATGAATTAAAATCCGAAACTAAACGATTGATTCAGGAAAAACAACAAAGACGTAAAGAAAATCAACAACGTCGTGAAGAGAATACAAGAAAAGCTGAAATTGTACAAATAATACAGAATAAAAATAAATTAAAAAAACTTAAAGGATCAAGAAAATTGAGAAAAGTTTAAACAATATATTCTTTTCATTTCATTTCATTTTTTTGTTTTTCAATAAAAATAAAATTTTATAATTTAATAAAATTACGAAATATTTTCAAAAACAAAACAAAAAAAAATCTTTTCAATTTTTCATTTTTGATGAGGAAATCAAAATTGGTCAGCAAAAAGTATCACTGAACGGAAACTCTTATCATCATCATCATCATCATCGAGAGAGAGAAAACATTCGAATCGCTTTGCGCAAACTCATTTCCTGTTTTTTTGGCGTTCGAATTTCGCGTTCGAATTCGAATCCATCAAAAACCAAATCGCGATGTATTTACAATTGGCGAATTTTCTCGTTTTGTTTTGTTTTTTCTCAATTTGAATTTTCGTTTTTTTTTGTTTTGCTTTTTTTTTGGTAACGAAATCCAATATCATCATTGATCGAACCAAACGAAAAAAAAAATTTGTTATCATCGAAATATCTGGTTTGGCTTATATCAATGTATACTATATTCTATAGATCAATTCTATGGCCACCTTATGATGATGATGATGAAATATGGATACCCAATTTTTCCAACAGCAAAACATTCGATCCATTTTTTTTTGTTTCTCAATTGGTTGACAACAACAATAATAATAATAATGAACACCTATAGATTATCACCAACAAATGCTGCTTCTACTCGAAACGGAAAAATCGATAGGATTCTACCTTGAATGATTTTTTTTTTGGGTTTTTTTGGGTTTCGGCTCCCCACTACTACTATAGTAGTATCCTGTTTGTTTGTAGTGAGTGTCCTTCTGGTTTTATTTTTTTTGTGTTCGTCGTTCCTTTATCTCATCTCATATCTCATTCATCACACACACACACTTTACTTTACCGTTTGTTACATAGGTTGGCGCCATTGAAAATGAAAATTTTTTTCATTTCATCAAGTGCATGTGCAGCACCTATATTTTTCTGTGTAAAAACGTTGATGATGACGACTACGATGTTTTTCGGCTCTCTTTCTCGTGATTCAATTCGTCTACGATTCGATTTGGTTTGGTCGGTTTGGTTTGTTCCAATGGCCCAATTTTCATTTCATTTCGAAACAAAATAAAGTTAATGGCAATTTCTGGCTTGCTTGCATCAGAGATTTCTTCTCGCTTTGTTGATGATGATGATGATGGTTCGGCGTCTGTGTGTATGATAAGTGTGGTAAATGTGCTTGCGTGCTTGCTTGCTTGCGTGTTTTTCGTTTTTGAAAAAAAACAACAATTTTTTTTTTCGTCATCAACATTCGGTGTTCCAATTGGCACCGAACAGAATCAACCAACCAACCAACCAACTTGGCCAAAAAACAAGTGCGAATCCCACTAAATGAATGAAACTTTTTCCATATACAACTACTGTGTGTTTGTGCAATCTCTGAATTCAATTTTTATTCTTCGGTTAGACGACGGCGACCACCACCACCACTGTTATCATCATTCTGTGAATCAAACAAACGAAAAATAACAAAACAAAAAAAAATTCACAATTCACATGTTCGGTGTGTGTTTCTGTAATGTGATGTGATGTGATGCAAGTCGGTGTTTTCAATTTATTTTTCTGTTTTGTTTTTCATATTTTCCCGTTTGTTTTTTGTTTTTTGAAATCAATTTTTTTTTTTTGGTTCTATTTGGAACCTACCTGTGTTCTCTGTGTGTGTTGGTTACCTGATTTTTTTTTTGTTGCAACAACAATAACATCATTATTTTTCTACCTGAACACACTACCTGTCTAGCCTAACTAACTGAAGACTGAGATGAACACCTGCACCTTGAAAACAGTTTGCATCCAATCAATCAATTTTGATTTGATTTTGAAAATTTGAATGGTTTCTATCGATTGATTGATTGATTGATTGATTGATAACCAGATGAACAACAACCACCTGAACCAAATTTTTTCTATATTTAATTATTATTATTCATCTTTGAATGTATGTATACCAATCAACCAATGTGATCAACATTTGAAATAATCCTGCAAGTTTGCTGGGGGAGGTTAAACTTTCGCTCTGTGTTTTTTTTTTATTGCAATTCGGATAATGATGATATCATTGGAAAAAATAAAAAACAACAAGAAGAAGAAAAATATTCTTTCTGGGTAAGTTTCATTTGGAAAATGTTTTATTTTCTTTTGCTTTCTCTCTATATATACATATGTCGATATTATGTAATTATTATTTTATCATCATCAGGATGATCACTATATATATTTATCGATATCGGATTTGGGATTTTGGAAATATATTTATTTTTACTTTATGTCAATGTTGTTTTTCCCAGTTGTTTTGTCGTTAGTTTTTTTTTTAGTTTCACTGGGTGATAAATGAACAAAAAACAAAACAAGACAAGTAAAAGTTAGTCGATTGGTGAGTTTTTTGAATGGATTCCCTATAGAATACAAAGATTCTTTCTTTCCAAGTTTGTTATTCTGGCTATTCGATAGTGTCCATTTCGAGAGAGAGAGAAAACAAAAACACATCATTTATTAACCTTTCTTTCTGGCATTTGTAAAAATAGCCAAATGATTCTTGCCACATATAGGTAGTAATGTGATATTCTTGATTCTTGATTCTTGATTTTTTCTGTCTTTTTTATTCGGTTTGTTTTTTTTTCGGGCAATTCTAATGATGATGATGATGATTGTAAGATTAATAAAACATGAACATTGTAGTTATTATTATTATTATTATTGGGATGGTGGTGTTTTTTTTTATCCACTGACTGACTATTAATAATTTTTCGTTTTTGTTTATTTTATTTGGCTTCATCTTTATTTAGCCTAAACAGCAAAAAAACGACCACCACCATCAAAATTCTTGATAGGGAAATTCTTTTGGTAAAATTCTTTGCATTTTTCGTAAGGGGGAAACATGAATTTCCAAATCAAAAATTATCGAATCTGATTCAAGCAATGTTTGTTTTGGTTTGGTTTGGATCGATAATTTACTTTTGGAAAATTATCGTTTGTTTTGTCTGTTTAAAGCGCACAATCAAATCGAATGATTATGTTATGTTTTGTCATTTCATAATCGAAAAAAAATCTTATTTAGATTAATTTTGCTTGAAGCTAAACTAAGCTAACAAAAACAAAAAAAGAAAATTATGAATTCTTTCATTCATTTATTCATGGATGATGATTTTTGATTGCTTTTAATTTCACCATCATCATCATCATCATCATTTGATTGCCTTTAGGGTTCTTCCCAAACAGAATTTGAAAAAATAGTCATTTTGGAAAAAAAAGGCCAGAAGTATCACTTCTACACTTTGAAAAACAAAAACAAAAAAATTTTCCAATAAAAACTTTTCACTTTACTTTAGTTTAGATTTGAGAAAATTCTTCGGAAAAAAAATTCATTTCGTCTGGTCATCATCATCATCATCATCATTTGATAAGAACCATATGTTTTGGTTATCTGGAAAGGCTGTTTTTATTCACTTAAAGAAAATTCAAAAAGCCCTGATGTTTCCCTTTTTCAATTTAATCACATTACATTAACTGTCATCCGTGTGTGTGTGTGTTGAGAATATATCTTTCTAGTTGATGTTTGACATCGCTCATATCCTGGCACAGGAAGTCTTAAAAGGAAATCAAAAGCAGAAAAAAAACAAGAAAATTCCCGGAAATATTCTATGGAAAATGAAAAAATCACATTCAAAAATGATTTGATAATTTCATTATTACATTTACAAAAAAAAAATTGACTTAATTGATTTTAATCCAATTGAATCGATCGATCGATCGATTGATCTGCGAAATCAAAAAAAACTTGTCGTTTTTTTTTGTTTTCGGACAACATTTTGATTTAATTTACCAAAGTTACACATTGTCTGTGTGTGTGTGTGTGTGAAGGGGATTCTTATAATGCCCATTTTTATTCACAAAAAAAAATCAAATTGTCAATTTGATTCTGTCAAAAAAAAGCCAAAAAAGAAAATGTTTCTTTGCATCATAATTATCGTTGATTGCATTGCATCATCATTATCACTATGTGTTTTACACTTGAAATATTTTTCATTCACATCACATAATCATCATTATCAGCCTTATGTCGCAATTCGCTTTTCGCAATTCTTTTTGATTCCTTTTTGTTGTTGTTGTTGTTGTTGTTGTTGTTTTATCAACAGTAACAACAACAACAACAACAACAACGACAACAACAATTGTTTGTTTGTTTGGCATTTAATTGTGTGTGTACAACATGAATCAGAATTTGTTGTTGTTGTTTTTCTATCTCTTTATTGAATTTTCTTCGTTTATTATTATGATTTTTTTTCACTGTTGTTGTAATCATAATTCTGCTTCTTTATTGTTTGGTTCACTGATTAATTTACATGGTCGGCAATCATCATTTTAATTAATTTTATTTGTTTTTGGCAATCAATAGGCAAAGACAAAAGAAAAAGAAGAAGATTATTTTGCATTGAAATTGACTATAGAACATTGATAAATTGCAATTGACAGAACCAAATGAAAAATTTTAAATGTTTTCAGAATTTTTTTTATTTATTGTTTTTGAGTGATATTTCACTCAGTTCAGTTAGGTTAGGTTGATGACTGCAGCTGTGACTATGACCATATATGATTATTCATAGTTCAATTAGGTTAGGTTGATTGGCTACTATAACTTTGACATTTACTATAGTGTTTCTCTTCCATTTTGACTAAAGTTATAGTTGTTGTTGTTGCAATATGTTAATCAAATTGATGATAACAACAAACCTATAAATAAAAAACAAAACTAAAAAAACTTTTCGATAGATCGATTTCAAACGAAAATAGCAAGAATTTTTTTTTTGCTCGGTTTCCATTGGATTCTGGATCTTGATAGCCGAAAAAAAAATATTCCAAAATGGATATTTGCATTTAAATTTATTTCTGATAATGTTTTTTTTTCTTTTTTCCCTTGGAATTCTTTGGAATTTTCTTTTTTTCTCTTAAAACGATCATATTTATTCTGAAAATGAAGAAATGGGAAAAAATTCAATATTCTTTACTTGGTGGTGGTTGCTTGTTTGTGTGT